TTGTTGCTCAAATTATTCTAACTTTGCCACTGGGAACCCTTTCAGTTGGCTCTGGGGTCCCTTTGACATACCCAATTACTGCCTCCCCTGCTTTTTTTACTTTTTGGTACTACAAGGTACTCTAGACCCATCTTGTACATTTCCTGACTCAGCCCTAGAATTTCAGGCATTTTCCCAAGGAGTCTTGATTCTTTTTATTAGAGAATGGTATTAAAAACTATGAACTGGGCACTAGCTATGCTTGTTGTACTGGGTATCATTGCTTCTAGGCTCTCCCAGCTGACCAATCTGGGAAATATACATGTGATACCAACCCAGGCACATACATATATTGATAAATATTTCTGTTTGTAACTGTCTGTACTATATTAAGCCAAACCTGAGTTCATACTGATGTCTCTAATCCATTTCCACATGAATCACTTCAGCCTTTTTCCCATGCTTGTCTGTATACTCTCCCTGTAACAGTGAGAAACCTGGCTGCTACCATCCACCATTCATTTGCTTAATTGTTGAATGCCAGTACCCATGTATAATGGTTTCAAAGTTGTTCACTTGTACTCCACGCTCTGTGGGAAACTTTACCAACTGCATGCAGTGCTTATGTACAGTTCCTTTGCCTTTGCTCTTATATTTTTTTTTAAAGATTTTATTTATTTATTCATGAGAGACAGAGAGAGAGAGAGAGAGAGAGAGAGAGAGAGAAGCAGAGGGAGAAGCAGGCTCCCAAGGAGCAGGGAGCCTGATGTGGGACTCGATCCCAGGACCCTGGGATCATGACCTGAGCTGAAGGCAGACGCTTAACCATCTGAGCCACCCAGGCGCCCTTGCCTTTGGTCTTATAGACTGCGCTCATTTCCAAAGTTACTTTAGGTCAGCACTTTTCCTTTCTCCCTCACTCCCTGCGGTGAGGTTATTTCATACCTTTTTACTATATTTAGATTCTTTTGTTACAGTCTGCATTCCAACCTGGGATAAAAAAATAAAGCTGAATAAATAAAATAAGTTTAATTTAAATAATTTTATATTTAAATTTTATATTTAATAAATTTAATTTTATATTTATATAATTTTATATTTTAAACCCCCAAATATAAAAAATATATAGTTTCTGGGGTACCTGGGTGGCTCAGTCGGTTAAGTGTCTGCCTTCAGCTCAGGTCATGATCCCAGGGTCCTGGGATCAAGCCCTGCATCGGGCTCCTTGCTCAGTGGGGAGCCTGCTTCTCCCTCTCCCTTTGCCTGTCACTCCCCCTGCTTGTGCTCTCTCTTGCTCTGTTAAATAAATAAATAAAATCTTTAAAATATATATATATATATATAGTTTTTAAATCATGGTCAAACAGTTAAATTTTTGAGCACACATTTTTAATATTTGCTTTTTTAAAAAGTGGTTTATATTTGTGCTTTCCTACTGTTATATAATTAGAAATACTAACAGTTTCTCCCCATTTACCTGCTGTGTACGGGGACCCCTCTTAGAGGACAGGGGCCAGAGGTTCCTTGAAGTTTCCAAAAGCTCATATGTGAGTGAGTTTGGAATGAAAGATGCATTTTCTGACAGAAAGAAATGTAATAAGTGATGATTGGCTTCCCAGGCTCACCCACTAAATCCCACTCAGTTCCTTATTTATTCCCAGCTGCAATAGTGGCATTTTACTTATCTCTGACCCCATGGATAAGACTGTTCTCTGGAAAAAAAAAAAATCCAAGTTCCACGTGAGTTTTTAAGATTGCCTTTTGACAGAGACTGACTGTTCCTTGAGGCAAATGTAGGACAGTAGGACCTGTGGAAGTATCTTGATACAGGCAGAGTACACACTGGAGCTTCCCTTCTGGTAATGATGAACTTGGCAATTCAGGAATGAAGGTGAAATGAGGATATTTTCAGCTAAACAAAAACAAAGGGCGTTCACTACCATAAGATCTGCAGGAAAGAAAACTTTAGATAAGCACTAACCAGTAGAACTTTCAAAGATGATGACAATGTTCTTTATATTTGCTGTGCAGTAGTCTTTAGCCAGCCACTTGTGGCTAGTGAGCGCTTGAAATGCATCTCTAATTAAACCAAGGAACTGAATTTGAAATTTTATTCAATTTTACTTACTTTACACTTAAATAGTCACATGTGGCTGGTGGCTACCATATTAGACAGTGCAGCCTAAAATACAGACTTCAGATAAGAAGAAAATGATCCCAGATGGAAGGTATAGGTATAAGAAGAAATGAAGAGCAAAGAAGTTACTAAATATATAGGCGAAAATAAATTAACACTCATGCTATGAAATAATAATAATAATAGTATCTTAAAGTTTTGAAAGTATATGAAATTAAAATATATGACAGTAGAACCATATAAATTGGGCGAAGTTGAGGTAAATGGAGTTCTGTCATCCTTTTTTTTTTTTAAAGATTTTATTTATTTATTTTGACAGAGAGAGAGACAGAGAGAGAGGGGGAACACAAGCAGGGGGAGAGGGAGAAGCAGGCTTCCCGCCGAGCAGGGAGCCAGATGCGGGGCTCGATCCTAGGACCCTGGGATCATGACCTAAGCGGAAGGCAGATGCTTAATGACTGAGCCACCCAGGTGCCCCGGAGTTCTGCCATCCTTGATTTTCTGGGAGGAGGATAACGTTATTCATTAGCATTAGTCTTTATAATTTAGGGATGCATGGGGGATACTTCTAGGATAAGCACTAAAAATATAGAAAATAAGTATATAAGTATATAAATTTCAAACTAGTAGGGAGATAAATGGAATGGCAAAAAATATTCAAATCAAAAGAAAGCAAGAAAGGGGAGAAGAAACAGAATAGGAGTAATGAATATAAGGCACCATAACAGTGGTAGGTTTTTAAACCCAAATGCTCTATTTCATTGATTTTAATACACATATTTACTCATATTTTTACATTTCTGGAATTGGGAGGCAGATGATAGATTGTGGCATTGCGTGAGTCCTCCCAGGTTGTGTTAACATGTCAGAGCTTTTTTTGGTCATCGGTTGAGTTTTGTGGATCATTGTTATTCCATATATTTAGTTTAATTTTTGTTGAAAATGTTTCAAAAAGTTGCCCTCTGAATTGGCATGAAAACTGAGCAGTAGGGTAAAAAGGTAATAATACTGAAGCAATTCCTTTTGTTTTTTTTTTTTGGCAAATACCAAGAGCTTTCAAAGACCTAAAAAAGAAGCTAGCCACAAGTAGATGAAGGTCTGTTACACTTTGTTTCTGAGATATGTGCAGTGTAAAACAGGAGAAATTGCCAAATCCCTTGGAATTGATGAAAGAAAATTTGAACCATGGAGAAGCTGGTATGATTGATTTGTGCACTTCATAGTGCTATTGTTGAGATGCTGTGTCATGGTTTAATTGGTGGTGTTTCTCTTTCTTATTGATCTATAAAATATTGGTATGTCTTATAATCCATAATGATGTAAGCAGTTATATGATAAGGTTAATTATGGAAAGAAAACAGAACCCAATTATATGCTATTTGCAAGAGATACACCTAAAACATAAAGGTGGAAGAGGCTGAAAGGAAAAGAATGGGAAAAGATATACCACACAAATATTAATTTAAAGAAGACCTCTGTATCTGACAAAGTAGGCTTTAAGACAATAAGCATTCCTAGAGATAGAGGGTTTCTCCTTAGGGATAAAAGTTTCAGATCACCAGAGAGATAAAAAATTATAAATTTATATGCACCTAATTAACATGACTTCAAAATATGTAATGCCAAATTCAAGATCAAAATAATAAATCTATGGCATAATAGGAGATCTTAATGTGCTTCTTATATAATTGATAGAACAAGATGACAAAAAATCAGTAAGGATAGAGAACATCTGCTCAGTAGAATTGATATATATCTGATGGTCTGATCTGAGATCTGATCTATATCTCATGGTCACTTATAAAATACTGTACATAACAACTACATGATACATGTCAAACATTGACCTACAGTTATTGGTGGAAAAAATGTAAGGTGGAAACGAGCAGACTGGCAGTCAGGAGATGTTAGTTAATAGCCACACTAATAATGGGGATTGCAACCATCCCTTTACTGACTTCCAAATGTTTCTTACAACAAACATGAAATTACATAACGTCCTCTACTTTCTTACTCTGTGTTCTGTTCTGAATTCTGTCTTACTCACTACTTAATACTGTGGCCTCTTAAAATTTGCCAGTCTTCTGAACCTCATGCTAATGATAAGGCCCCTGCTACTTGCTGATGGGCCTTTCAGATGCTGGCTGGATGCTCAGCTGGATATGTGGCTACCACCTGACCTGGATTCCTTATTGCTATGCTCCTGCCATCTGTTAGGACTTGGTGCTACCTGTATGGGACCCACTCCCATCTTCCCCCATGCAATACTTGCAGAGGCAATGCATTCCCATGCTCCCTTGGACACTGTGCTCTGGACTCCAGACTGAATGTTTCCTGTGGGCAACTGCAGCTGGGTCTGTTCCCCTAGCACTGTTCCTCATGGGTAGTTCTGAAACAGAGATTTCACCTTGCTGCCCCTCCTGCTATGCATGCATGGACAAATCACAAGAAGTGTCAGCATCCTATGGTGATGCAGAATGTAGGAATGAAACCAATTTCAAAATCGCATTTTAATTCTTTGACTGTTGGATGACAGAATTTATACTCAGTTGGGTTTCCCATTTTTTTGTTTCATATTTTTCTTCACAATCTCATCCCCATGCCAAAGGCTTATTAAGAAATTCTCTAAAGATCTCTATTAAGCATTTAACAGACAAATTAGACATTTCTAGTCTAGCTATCAAGGGTATAACATTTTTCAGATCTTTAGACCAATAATGAAATACCTTGCAGCAATTAAAAATAATGTTACAGAAAAATATTGATGAGATGAAATGATATTTGAGATATCATCTTAAGTAGAAAAGGCAGGATGCATTGTAAATAGGAAAGGATGTTACCAAGTAATTTGTCAGACACATTCCTGTATTTGCCTATTATGTAGATGTGAGCCTGGAAGAAGATCTGAAGATAAAATCCTAGTCTTTACCCATATTTGAAAGATGGAGCTTCAGCGTTCTCAGAAAGGCCTGGACTGCCCGGAACTTGGTCTGTGACCTCAGGGAAATCACTTAACCTGCACTGCCTTTTACAGTGGAAGCTGGGAGGCCAGCAGCCAGCCCCAGGATCACAGCATTAGGGGAGCTAAGGAACACAGCGGGCTTAGCCCAGGCCTGGCATCCTGAGAGCATACAGTGGACTGCCGTGGCTGTTGCCATTGCCCCTGTGCCATTGCTGGTGGCCCAGCAGCTCTGATCTTACTTGGTCGTGTGGATTTTCCTCTGAATGGACCAACTGGTATTGGCTTTGTGAAGTACAACCATACTCGTTACCTGACAAGAGCAAATGCAATGCAAAATAATAATTTTAAAAAAGCAAGTGAATAGCCAACAGGCTGTAGGGAGAAGCTGGTTCTTGGTGGGCTTGAACAAGGAAGGTCCCTTGGGGATGTGTTGCATGTCACCACTGAAAAAGAGCGAACAGAGAGGAGGTGGACAGGAGTGTCAGTGATGTCCTGGAGTGCTCCTTCAGGAGAGATGAAAGAAGGATATTTGCCTCTGGCTTAACTCTGGGACTGGAGTAAAGAACCAGCAGGAGAACAAGGACTTGCCTGAACCTCCCAGGCTCAGTGTCCAGCTTGGACCCTGTGTCTCCCCTTTCCTTTCATTCATGTCTCTTTCCTACATCTTCGCTGTCAGACTGGACTGGCAGCCACACAGCCTGTCTCAAGTGCCTTGAAATGTGTTGAATGGATGTGGCACAGTCCTTGGCAGAGTGACAGTACTCCATAGGAATTTGTTTGTTCCCTTGGTGTGGAAAATGGCAGGCAATGAGCAATGACGTAATGACTAATAACCTAAGATGCTATTTATTACTGGGTAAAGGAATGCTGGTGTTACATTTGCATACACACTCCCAAACTGATTCTTCAAAATAAGGACCAGACCTGGCCCCTCCACATGAGAGATCCTGAAGGGAGAAGACAAGCCGAGCTCCAGGAACCATAGCGCGTGAGGATCTCTGGCGCAGGTGAGTGGTACGGACTCCAGCTGAAGAGGCCAACTGACATAGACAGGGAAGCAGAGCAGCCTCTGGCCCTGCCTTGCTTTTTTCCCCAGAAGCATGATCTTCTGTGAATTTCCTGAATTTCTAAATATTGTCTCTGATACCCGCCCAGACCACCTTGCTCTCAGCCCCAAGAGCAGCCTGATGTCTACCAAGAGGGCTTCTGTCAATAAGCAGAGTATGGCTGGAGGGCCAGGCAGACACTGAGCTTCGGAGACCTGGCAATGCTGATAATGCTGAAAATCTCTGATTTTCAGATTCTAGAGAAGACTGATTTCAGAATCTAGAAAGTACTGGTTTTCAGAAAAGAGATTTTGGAAACCTCAATATTTTGAATGTTCTTAGGTGAAAAGAGATCCACTTCAGATGGCTGAATGCACTGCTTCTCTAGGGAGCTCTGTGGAAGCCACCTACATTTATTTTGATACAGGTGGCAAATTCTATAAGCGGGTCACAGTGTCATCCCCAGTACCTCAGTCTGTAGTTATCATTCTGTCTTCCATCAGGACCACCATTGTCTTCATATATTTGGGTACCTACATTTCTGCCAGATGTTTCTTATTCTGATGTCATGTGGCTGCCAAATTCTCTGCCTTCTCAAGGGCCACCAATTCCCTGTGTCCCTTGATTTATCCCCAAACTACAAAGGCAGGTGTGCTTTGTAGATTTGGGGGATGCAGCCAAATAACAGATAACCGAAACTCAGAAAGTGGCTATCCACTCCCTTAAAATTCTATCAGGTGTCCCCACCCAGTGGCCTCCTCCCCTATCTTTCATTGTCTTTGCTGCCAAGTCCTAGAGCCCTCTCATGTCATTTTTAATTTTTGCCAAATCATTTAGTTCCCTTTGTCTCACTCCTAAGTGCTTCTCAAAGGATTGGGTTTCCACACAGACTGCCCATCTCTGCAAACTAAAAGTGGTGTTACCCTTGAGAATTCACTTAACTTCAGATTTTTCATCTGTAAAATGGGAATAATGATTCTTGCCTTACTTCCCTCACTGTGTTGCCCTGAACTAATGTTGGGGAAAGTTCTTTATGAAGTGAGTGAGATGTGGCCTGCAGAATTGAGGGGTGTTTAGAAATCTCTCTCCTCTAAGCCCTCCCAGTGAAGAGGTCCTGTGTCATCCCTTCCCCAAGACATTAAGAGTTGAGCCTTCTGGGACCTTTGGAGGCTCAGTTTTCCATGACAAGAGGCTGCAAAAAACCTGCCTTTCTTTGCAAAGATTAGACTACAGCAGAGGGTCAGCAAAGTTTTTCTGTAAATGTTGGGACAGTCAGCATTTTATGCTTTGCTGACCAGATGATCTGTCTTTCAAATACTCATCTCTGCCATTGAAGTTGGAAAGCAGCCATAGACAACATGTAAAAAAGGACATGGCTGTGTTCCAATAAAACTTTATTTAAAAAAATAGGCAGTGGGACAGATTTGACCTGTGAACTGTAGTTTGAGAGCCGCAGGACTAGAGCAATACATTTTGAACTTTTGATTACATTTTTATCAAATGTTGTCAAGATCCATAAAAATGATATCATGACCCACAGTTTGGAAACATTGCTTTGGAGGGGCAAAAATCAAAGAAGGAGTGATAGAAGAAGCATGGTCAAGTCTTACAAGGCCTTCCTGGACACAGCAAACATTTCTAAGCAGAGAGCAAGGCTGATGGCCAATCAGCATTAGGGGAGTCCAGCAAGATTTCTGGGGTCAGAAGTGCCATAACTGATCTCCTTCCCTGTCTACTTAGGTCCTGCTTTTCATCCCAGGCTCCTGTTGAGTCATTTCATTGTGTTAAAAATGTCATTTTTGAAGGACTCAGGTGTGAAAATGGAGTCTGAAGACCAGGAAAGAGATGAGCCCCGGTGCTGCTCAGAAGGTAAGATTTTTGCAAACATTCATACCAGAGCCAAAAAAATAACTCCTAAAGCGGGACCTTGTAGGTTTGTGCACAGACCCGTTCCTTCCTGTTGACCTCGCATGGTAAGTGACCTTTGAGAACTTCGCTGGTAAATGAATTAGACAAGAGAAATCCTTGAAGGGAAAATGAAGCTTTGCCATGGGTGTCTAGGTACGTTAGGTAGTAGATAAACAGATCATCTTCACCCACAGATCCAGGGCTTTGAAGTCCTGACTCACCACCTGGATGGTTCTGGATCATCCAAATGCATTTCTTTCCTCCCAGCCTGCTCAAGCAGAGGAGAAGGCCCTGCAGTGGAAGGGACTGTCTGAGTCTGGGGTGAGAAAATGACACCGGCTTAGGGCTTCTGAGTGCCCATGGAGGAAGGCACTTGGCTGTTGGCTCAAGGGGGATAAAAAGAGGAGGCTTTGAACCCAAATGACTGTCTAATGCATGGAGTGTGAAGGGAGAGGCCTACAACATGACAGAGGCCCAACCCCTGAGCCTTCAACTCACACATGACAATCAGTGTTCCCAAACTAAAAATAGGACATTTGTCTGACAAATGTGGATCTGCCAACAGAGAGGTTTGGAACCAGCCCTGCTCCTGGAACATGGGCCATGTGATGGCCGCCATGCACATTCTGTCCCTTAAGCAGCAGGGAGTGCACACCAGGAAGGCATAAGCACTAGATACTGTAATTTCCCAACCCTGGGGAACTCCAACTGGTGACACTGAGGCCGTGTCCTAATTCTGCCTCTTTGTAGGTGGCATGTGTAGAAAGGGAAGAATCTTCCTCTGACTCGCAACACAATCCTTTTGAGTCTCTGTCTGAACCTGGCCTGGGGCAGCTCCACCTTCCCACATTCCTACCTCACCAAGGTGCAGTCCTCCTGCTTCTTAGAAGCATAGACTGTCAGAGCTGGAGGGACAGACAGGGAAAATGAGGCTCAGAGTGGTGAGAGGCAGAATTGCCTCAGACAGCCGAGTAGTTAGCAAGGCCAAGACTGTGTAGAACCTTCATACCAGAGCACAAGGTTTGAGTTTTCTTCTTCCCTAGGTGCTATATGCTCTCACAGTGCAAAGGTTGTTTGGATTATGATCAGGGATTTCATTCAGGTATTTCTCAAACTTAATGTTTGATCAGGTAGAAGCCTCCAGATTATTCTCAGATTAAAGTGGGCAATGTATACTATATCCCCTGAATTAATGCAATGCATATGTTTGTAATAAGTAAGGGTTCTAGGAAGTTCTGCATTCAGAAACTGAGTTAACTCTATTTCATTTCTGTTTCTACCATTTTTGACCAGGAAAGTTTCGTTTTGTTTTGTTTTGTTTTGTTTAGAGAGAGAGACAGAGGTTGGAGGGGGAGGGGAAGGACAGTGGGAGAGGGAAAGAGAGAATCTTAAGCAGGTTCCATGGCGCGCACAGAGTCTGACGTGGGGCTCAATCTCACAACCTTGAGATCATGACCTGAGCTGAAATCAGGCTTAACTGACTGAGCCACCCAGGCGCCTCCAGGAAAGCTATTTTTTATGTCATTACTGTCTCTGTGCTTTAGTGTCTCTCAAAACATCCAAAAAAGAAGTAAAGCATTAAATGGGCCCTGATGTTTCTAAATCCCTAGAAAATCCCAATTGTGTGTGCTAACCTCACTGTCTCTGATTTCAGACTTTACCGGAAGCCCCCCGGAGCCAAACATGAGCCTCCCCACAATGAGCTCTCCCTATTCATGTAAGGCCCCTGGGTGAACTGATGAGGGTGGTGATGGGTGAGGGTGGGGATGAGAGCGATGCCACTATGTTCTCTTAGGGGAGTCAGAGGATCAGAGATGGGGGATACCTAAGGGTGCTGTGATGAGGCTGAGGCTTTTCCTTTGTGGAAGTGCATCTCAGGAGGGTCAATAAGAAAGATGAACCCTGGGTGGGCCTCTGCCTTTTCAGAGAGGTGCAGGTAACACATGCTGCTGAATGGCACAGGAGAAGAAAGGTTATGAGCCTGGGAACCTTCCATGTCCTTCTTCTGACCTTTGCCATGACGCTAGCTAGCAACCCTGACCTCCTCACGTAATTTATGAAAAACAGGAATTTGGCCAGCAGAGGGCGCACACGAAGCTCACACCATTAGTGCCTTGGCAGCCCTCAGATCTAGAACCTTCTCATAGGCTACTAGATAACCTCATGATGACCTTAAGAAAATTCAAGCGCAGAAACTGAGGAAGCGAAGGAGGGTACCTACCCCAGGTGACACAAGTAGTAAGTGCCAGATGCTGGAATTTAAAGGTACTGTGACATCTGTCAGCCCAAGTCAGGTTGTTTTTTTTTTTTAAGATTATTTATTTCTTTATTTGACAGAGAGAGACACGGCGAGAGAGGGAACACAAGCAGGGGGAGTGGGAGAGGGAGAAGCAGGCTTCCCGCGGAACAGGGAGCCCGATGCGGGGCTCGATCCCAGGACCCCGGGATCATGACCTGAGCCGAAGGCAGACGCTTAACGACTGAGCCACCCAGGCGCCCCCCCAAGTCAGTTTTAAGGCTTCCCCTCACCACCCTCTGCACAGGAAGAGTCAGGAGACCGCAGCCTGAGTCCCAGGTCTATTGCAGGTGACCTTCCTCCCCGGTAAACTGGCAGTGAGCGCACACAGGTGCCCGGTGAGCTCCCGCGACTCTGTGAGGGAGGTCTCGTCAAGCACTACTGCAGCCGCCCTTGCTCCCTCTGTTGTTTGGCAATGGACTCCCTAGAGAAAATAACTACCAGCACATTAAAATCACTTACACCTCTGCTGTGGCCTTGAGAAGGAACTCTGAAGAACGCATATGGGGTCAGGAACGATGTGATGTGAACTGATCCAGCTAAGAAGATACGGCGCAAGCCTCAGTGCGTGATGATGGGAGGCCCAAGTCAGCGTGAGAGGTGGGAAACAGAAGACGAAGGACAGGTTTGGGAAATATTTACGGGGCAAACAGCCCAGTGCTAGTGCTGGAAATTCAACTTACAGAGCGCGAGTCGGTGTCTCCCGAGACCGATCAGAATCTCAGGAATGTGGGGCCCAGGCATCCAGGGCCCTAAAATGTCCCCCATCAGGTGATTTCCAACGAATGGTGCTTGGCTCCTAGGTACTTTCTGCCTAATTTCTCACCCCCCACTCTTCCACTGGCCCTCCAGTGCAAGGATCTGTCCCACCCCAGGCATTGCTGATGGCACGATGCCCCCAGTGATAGGCTGCAGGAAAGAGGGTTAAGAAGAATAAAGATAAACATGTTCTTAGTCTTTTATATGGCTCAGATACCTGGCTAAATGCTACTCATTTGAGTAAGCATTTTAATCTTCCCAACAACCCCGCCAGGTAGGTGCTATTCTTACCCCCTTTTCACAGATAAGGAGGTTTTGAGAGATTAACTTTTCCTAGGTCCTAAATCAGTAAGCGATGGGAACTTGGATTGAACCTATCTGTGAAAATAGATAACCCATGCTAAATTGCTTGTTCAGAGCAAGGCAGAAAACCTGGGAGTGGGAGAAATCTTCAGTGGGCTGTGATGTTTGAGGCCACAGGCAGGTGGAGGCCTGGGGCTGGGACTCTTGAGTGTGGGCTAGAAAGGATTGCCTGTAAAAGGGCAGTCTCAGGGAATTTAATCTGTAGCAAGAACAGGAGCACCCTAACAAGAGGTTCCTTTCGCAGTTGGCCACTGCTTCTGCTCCCATTCAAGATCCTGGGGCAGGGTGAGGCAGGTGAGGGCAAGAGCAAGGCTGTCTTGGGAATAGAAGAAGACGTTTATCCATCCTGTACTCTGCTTGGCATTGAGTTACCTGTACAGAGATAATAGCCTTAGGAGTGGTATACTCTAAGCATTTTGGATCCCAGTGACCCCAATCAATTAAACAAAACTGAGGATCTACATCTTTGAAATGTGAGCATTAGTACATTATGAAACTTACACAAAATTAGAAAATTCACGAGGACTAAATAAAATAGGAACTGACATTTAGTGGTTTCTTCCCACATTCCATTCCAGTGGACTGTCTGGCTCACCCAACCACTGTGCTCCACCCCCATCCCAGCAGACACACACCTAGCAGTGTGCTGGCAAATGTTTGACAACCAGTTCTCTGGGGTTGGGGGAGTGGGAGGGAGCTCTGATACGTAGCTCTTGCCAGTTTTCATGGTGTAATGATTCCCAACATGGCTGACTTCAAACTGCCAACATGAAGTCATTGAACATGGATTTGGGAAGAGATGCTAGCAGTTGGCTCTTGCAAGCTGATATAAGCTGGTTCCAGCACAGCACTGCAGCCACCTTTAAGATCTTCATTTTAGAGCCAGGACTGGTTGGCAAACTATAGCCTGCAGGCAAAATCCAGCTCACCACCTGTTTTGTGTAGTTTGCTAACATAGCCATGCTCATTGGTCATCTATGGCTGCCTTCTTACTACAACAATAGAGCGTGTGGTTTCTTGGCCTGCAAAGCCTAGAATATTTACTATACATCCCTTAACAGAAAATTTGCTGACTCCTGCTGTAGAGGGTAGGAGACCAGAGGCTGTTGGCAGCCTCTAGACATTCATCCCTGAGTCAGTCTGGTACTTGAAGTACAATTTCCATTAGAGAGCTGAATGCACGATGGTCACAAAACTCTACACTATTGTACACTGCAAAAGTAACATTAGATGTTTTAGTGTTTTTTGTTTGTTTTTACTTAGCTTAGTTTGTCGTGGCAATTTTCAGTAGGAAAATGCATTCTAAATTCCACTGATTCTAGAGACCCAGAGCTGTTGACAACCACCTGTTACTTCCCCCAGCCTTCTCGCAGAAGGAGCTTTGTCAGAGCAGCTCCATGCAGGAGCTCAAGGCAGGATCAGAGGTCAGTTGGCCCAACGTGGCAGGACAGGTTCTCTTTGTCGAGTGTGCAGAAGGGACAGTTTGGCAGTCTCTCATGGTGATTTCTGGTCTCTAAGGTAATTTTCATAGTGCATTGGGTGATTGTCACATCAATAATCAACATAATGCTGTGAGGAGGGCAGGGTGGGGAATTATTATGCTCATTTCATAGACGAGTAAACAGACTCAGAGACAAGTACCTTGACCAGTCACCCAGATCTTAAGTGGCAGATTTCCAGGTGTTCTGACTCCTAGTATAGAGCAATTTGCATTGTCGCTGAGGTGCTAAAACGTGACTGTGCTTAAGAATCACCTGGGAAGGTACACCTGGGTGGCTCAGTTGGTTGGGTGTCTGCCTTTGGCTCAGGTCATGATCCCAGGGTCCTTGGATCGAGTCCTGCATCGGGCTTCCTGCTCAGACCCTGCTTCTCCCTCTGCCTGCCGCTTCCCCTGCTTATGCTCTATCTCTCTGACAAATAAATAAATAAAATATAATCGTTAAAAAAAAAAAAAGAACCACCTAGGAAGCTTCTGATAAATCTTAAGGGTATTGTGCTATGTGGAAAAAGACAGAGAAAGAGAAATACTGTATCTTATCATTTTTTATGTTGAATCTAAAAAAGCTAAACTCAGAGAAACAATGTAGAGTGGTGGTTACCAGGGCCTGGGGGTAGGGGAAATGGGGAGATACTTGCCAAAGGATACAAACTTCCATTTATAAAATTAACAAGTTCTGGGGATCTGATGTACAGCATGGTGATTATAGCTCATAATACTGTATCGTATACTTGGAAGTTGCTAAAAGAGTAGATCTTAAATGTCCTCACCACACAAAATAATTATGTGATGGTATGGCGTCATTAGCTAATGCTATGGTGATAATCATATTGCGATACATAAATGCATCAAACCAACAGGTTGTATGCCTGAAACTTATTTATATGTCAATCATATCTCAGTAAAGCTGGAAAAAATACAGATTCTCAGGGTTATACACACTGAGATTCTGACTCAGGCATTCTGAGATATAACTCAGGGGTCTAGCTGCCTTGTTAAAAAGCCCTAAGTAATTCTGGTTCAAGTATTTCTTTCTAGTCCACACTTTGAGAAACACTGCTTCCTCCCCATATATCTCATTTGTGATTGAGAGCCATTTCTGAGTGATTGGGTACCAGCACCCAACTGTATTAGCATTTAATCTGGGCTGAAATATCCGCCACTAGGGATATCCTGCTCCAGGTGACATGAGCCTGAACCATGGAGAAATCCCATTGCATGGTGCATCTGGTGACTGTGCACTGTTCCCAGCAGCAAGGTGCCCAGCAGAAGACAGTGGCTGAGAGAGGCTTACTCACACAGAGCTTGCACAGTGTAGCTTGCCCTGGTGAACCCACTGCTAGTTGACTCATTCATTACAGAAGTGCTTGTGCCAGGCTCTGTGTTAGGTGAAAAGGATGAAAGGCTGAGCAGACCCAGATGCAGACTCTGTCCCCACGGAGCTCATGGTCTGGTGGGGAGGCAGACATTAATCAGGCCAACAACAAGTGTAAATGGAGAAGCAGTGCCCAGTGCATGATGGGGGTGGGTTGTAACCCAACAGGAAATCAGAAGGGCTTCTTTGGGGAAGAGACACTTGAGCAAGATCACAAGAAAAAGTGGGTATTAGTTGGCTCAAGGTCTGTTTAGGTTCTAGACAAGGTCAGTCTAGGCTCTGCTGTCTGTCTTCGAGTGGTCCCGATGAGTTTCATTTATTGATATAGAAAAAAGCAAAGGTGAAAAAAAAGGGAGAGATGCGAACAGCATGGAGCCACCTGCATCTCCTTATCTGGCAGGGATTGTTTACCATGCCCCAAGCTGT